TATGAGTTCCCATAATCGACCTATGAAAGAACAATAATTCAAAAAATATTGTGATTTTGTATCCAAGTGAGTAAGAATAACAACTTACCTTTTTATCTACTTAACGGCACCCCTGGTGGCCCATATGGATGTCTCCCTACGCGTGAACCCAATACCAAAATTGTAATTAATCGGTCGTTCCCATACCTCGTCCGGTAATGGGCGTCAAACCTGCCATCGACTCGATACCCTGTCTGGTATTAGGGTAAATCATATCTCCCAGTCCTTCTGGTATGAGGCTCCTCAGCCCCGTTCGGTTAAGGTAATATTCACGGTAAAGTTTTTCTTATGTACTGGGTTCGTCCACATTTTTCCAGGGTACCTCGTAAATTTTTCATGTAGAAATTTACACTATCAATAAATCACCAATTACATACTAATATCTCATATTTACAAGTCAACAATAAATCATGCAAAGAGACGATACATAAATCAAGAAAGCATAATTGAGACATTTATTGCAGAACGAACCAACCAATGAGGGCTATGCAGTTAGGTAAAGTAAATAACTGAGAAAACAATTAAAACTAGCAATTTAACACACACAATATAATAGTAAGCATTTCAGACAGTATATGAGAAAATAAGCAGTAAACTAGGGTAAATATGTACTAACCGGTTCTGACTCTATTAGTGACCTGTAATTAATTTTAAAATTTTTTAACTTTCACAAAATACAGCATTATTGATTATTAAGCTTCAATTTTCCGTAACATGAGTAAAGGGTGAGGAATTTTTACTTTGAATCAGTGTCCGAAATGTTGTACTTTCTACTGCACCTCCTAGCGACATTTTAAAATCTTTAAGGCTAATTTTAGGGTTCTAGCATAGTGGCGCCGCTGTGCTCCAGCGTCAGCTCCGTCGACCAAGGCGGCAGTTCACCTCGGTCTAGCCGATTTCAGTTGATTTGCTAGGTTTTAGCAAGTTTTGTATGCAAACCTGCGAAAAATAAGTTAGGAGGCATCAATTGGCCAGAAAAGTAAGAAAACTGAAACCCTACCGATGGAACGTCTCTGGGTGGGCGACTTTGCCGGTCCTCCTTTGCAGTTGAAGTACTCCTCCGGCTAACCTGCACCAAAAAAGAACGGTGAACCCAATGGTAAAAAAAAATTTATGAAATAGAAAACAAGAAAGGGATCATCTAAGAGGGTTTTGGATTTTGGCCGTGGCGACTCTATCGAGCTTTGTCCGCAGTTTCCAACTCACCCATCGGCCCTTCGGCTTTGATATGGCATAGGAAGATTCGG